CTCCTTTCCTCCCTCTTTCCTTTCCTCCCTCCTTCCTCCAGCTGAAGAACAAGTTCATGAAGAAGATTCCTCGTGATGCCGAAGCTTCAAATGTCCTGGTGGGTGAGGTGGACTTTCTGGACAAACCCTTCGTGTCCTTCGTCCGTTTGGCTCAGGCTACGACTCTGGGAGGCCTCACTGAGGTCCCTGTGCCCACCAGGTGTGTGTCCTTTCTTGAAATCTCTCCTAAGAGTGTGTGTTATTGCATTTATTAATCACCTCTCAATCTTCTCTTCTCACAGGTTCCTCTTCATCCTGCTGGGCCCTCACGGCAAAACCAAGGCTTACAACGAGATAGGCCGAGCGATCGCTACGCTAATGACGGACGATGTGAGTAACTAGCCCTGTCTTTATCTGATAAACAACACTCACACACATTACATTTGATATCTTCTTTCCCTGTCAGCTGTTCAGCGATGTGGCGTACAAAGCCAGGGACCGAGAGGACCTGATAGCCGGAGTGGACGAGTTTCTGGACGAGGTGATCGTGCTGCCTCCGGGGGAATGGGACCCAAAGATACGCATCGAGCCTCCTAAGAAGGTTCCCTCGGCGGAGATGAGGCGAGTAGCTTCAAGGACACGTGTGGAGGAAACTCTTCAGAGAAACTGATAAATGCTTCATGGACAATGTTTGTCTTTTGTTATATTTAATAAAGTAATAAAGAAAGTCAATATACAAGTGAAATGGATCTCAAATGTAGGAACAGAGCAGCTTCATCCTCAGAGGATAGAGAAGTTCAAAAAATACTAGTTAACAGTAAAAGGCAATCAGAGGATAAGACTACATGTTTTAAATTATGATATGATAGTTTGACACGACACACGTATTTGTCGCGTCAAATGTTCATATAATCATTGAAATAATTGTTACGTCCCAGCTCGGGGAAAAGGGAAAGTAACATCGAACCAGTTGGTGTTGGTAAATTAAAAGTTATTTATTGAGAAAGCTCAAATTAAATGGCGACAAGCAGCCACAAAGTACATTTAAGGACACGTGATCATAATTAAAAGTGTGATAACTGATTTTGACTGACATGTTGAGCTTATTAGCAAAACAGCTGTCTATGATCCACATCCAGCAGTTACAGAGAAACAGGGTGATTCACGAGGAGTATTTGTCTAATATGTTCTCTCCTCCAGCTCAGTTTATGTTGGATAACACCGCTCTGATGGAATTGCACAAAAAAAACAGTCAACTTTTTTTAAATACACGACCGTTTTTCTAAAATAAGATTATGAAAATAGTAAAGCTTGCGTCACACTGTCCCGACATCGACACCAGGCGGACACACGAATATGGAATTGTGAATTTCGCACGAAGATGGCCCCGAACTTGGTCGAGAGCCGAAGCAAGTACGATGCCTACAGAAGGCCACACGATGGCACCCGAACCACACACACTCCGTCATGTTGTTTCCATAGCAACAACAACTTCCTGTCAACAGCGTAAACTCGCCTTCAAAATAAAAGCATCTAAATAAAACAGGAAGTTAACCTAAATTACATTTAAGACATACAACTGCAACGAACGTAACAAAAGCAAAGTAATATCCTTTTCAGTTTCACAGAACACAAGTTGTACTATAACACGATGGCTACACGACGGCATTGCGAGGGCTTCACGTAGTCGTGTTGCCTTCCTAAGACAATCGGGCAGCTTCTTGTTTCCTTCGTATTGTCTTCGTGAGGCGAAAAATGCCCGATGGCACCGATGATCACACGAAGATGACACGATTTGATAAGATGCCCTCACGATGGCCTTACGAAGGGCAAAATGGACAAACGAATTCAACACGAAAATGAACCTTCAAAAGGTCCTTCGGCAATTTGTTGGCATGCCAAAGATTTTGCCACCGCTCACGAAGTTGCTGCCGGAGCCCGAGGAACTCCACCGGCGGTCATACGATGGCTTAAGATGCCCTCACGAACGGCCCAATGTCGTTACGATCAGAGCCGAATTTGAACATTTATCGTGTGTCCATCTGGTGTACATTTCGGGACAGTGTGACGCGGGCTTTAAGAAAAGCTAATTCACGAGGAATATTGTGTTTGTGTCTCATATTGTGTCTCTTTTAGCTCCGTGTTTGGTCTCCTCCATGTTGGATAACACCGCTCTGATAGAATTCCACCAAAAAAAACGTCAAAATTGTTTTTATATTTGACTGTTTTCCTAAAAGTCGATTATAAAAATTGTAAAAAAGCAAATTCACTCGGAGTATTTGTGTTTGTGTCTAATATTGTGTCTCTTTTAGCTCTGGTTTTGGTCTCCACCACCTCATTAGCTGCTAAATGTACCACTTATCTGTAAATGTGTCCGTCTGCTGTTTCAGGAAGTGCACAAGGCTTCGTATTGGCAAAAATATAGTGATTACTGATAAATAAAAAAGCAATATATTTCACTATATTGCAATTTATTTAAATCTAATATTAGGCAATCCTTCATAGTTAAAACATTTGATGGGTTTGCAATTACATTTAGCATCATAGCACTTCTTTGTATGCAATCAGAGCAAAGGAATTCACATTTACCTGTTACAAAAAGACCATAAAACTTGTAATATATAGATGTATATATAAGATAAGATAAGATGGACCTTTATTAATCCCGTGGGGAAATTCAGTAGTTTAACAGCAACAGGGTGAGAATGAAAAACAGGACAGAATGATATACAGGTAGGTAACTGTTAAAATAAGAAATTAATTAAATGAAAATATACATATTTGAGTCATATATACATATTAAAGCTGTAGTTATTAATAAAAGGTCCCAGATATTCATCACCATGACCCTTTTCATATGCATTTGTAATAACCACGAGTCCGGGATACTTTCCAACAGATATTGTATTAAATGCCTCTCTTCTGTCTCTCACAGGAAGTCGGTGCTGAACCTGAACGAGCTGGGTCAGATGAACGGCTCGGGGCGGGGGGGGGGGGGGGGCGGGGGGGGAAGACGAGGAGTTTCCTGTTCCTCATGAACTGGGAGAGGAGCTGCAGTTCACCGGGAGGTAAACACAGATATATCATACGTTACAGTTACATGTATATATAGAAATATATATGTATATACAGTTAGATAACCCACTGATGTCAGGACTGCAGGAAGGCAACACATCTGCCTTCAAATCTGTGAAGATACAATTGAATTAATAACGTTATTTTACTTACTGCATATATAAACACAGAAAGAGGAATTAAGTTAGAAAATATACATATAGAGCTAAAAGCAATTAAAAAAACTACAAGAAAATTGAAAAATGTGCAAAAGATTGAGTAGAAATTATAAACATTTTATAGTAAAGCTGTGCAGATTTAAAACAGATACTGCACTCTTTGTAAAAGCGACAGCTAAATGAAATGTGATATAACTGTGTAATTTTGATAGATAGATAGATAGATAGATAGATAGATAGATAGATAGATAGATAGATAGATAGATAGATAGATAGATAGATAGATAGATAGATAGATAGGTAGATAGATAGATAGATAGATAGATAGATAGATAGATAGATAGATAGATGGATGGATAGATAGATAGATGGATGGATGGATGGATGGATGGATGGATAGATGGATAGATATATTAGTACTTTATTGATCCCAGTTTGGGTAATCCTTTCGTCACAGAAGCAGAAGTGTGTTCAGACACTATAATGCAATACTTGAATGTCCTCCTCACGCTGTGTTTAACCTCGTTCCTGCAGGTTTTGTGGGGGCTTGTGGCTGGACATCAAGAGGAAGATACCGTGGGTCTGCAGTGATATCTACGATGGTTTCCACATCCAGTCCATCTCCGCCGTGCTCTTCATCTACCTGGGCTGCATCACCAACGCCATCACCTTCGGGGGGCTGCTGGGGGACGCCACCGACAACTACCAGGTCTCTATCTGTCTTTATTACATGGCTCAGTTGAATACTCGATTCTGATTGGTCAATTCAGAACACGTGACACGTTGTTAATCCAGAACAGACAGACCACTGCCAAGGACTTATTAACCGTTGTTAAGGACGCTCACATCTGCACAAAGAAGTCCGGTCGATTGAACTGTATACAGTTTGGCCGACAAGACAAGAGGGACAAGAAAACAGCGGAGAAGTAACGGGCAGAAACCCTGCTTTTTACGCAGCGGTCCAGACATAGACATCAAACGGCGACACATATTCAGTGTGCAGTTCCTTTGGCATTAGGGCAGGGATATTTAGATACTTCCCAAGCTTTGACATAATGAATTATGCTACTTTTAAAGCAAGCAACGATGTTTTCAAATCTGTAATCAAAAAGGTCCGCAAAAACGCTATCGAAGCAGTTCCTGCCGTTGCTACGTAGTTCAAACAGTAACAACGGACTATTCTTCTTCGAGGATCAAGAAAGAGAAAGGAAAAGAGGGTAAAAGACCGAGTGTTGGACGTCAGATGGAATCCCCAGAAGAAGACAGAGAGGAAGTAAACACGGTATGAGCTCTGCAGAGTTTAAGGACTTGTCAGTGGATCAGAAACTGTGAACTGAGTTGGACAGTGCTGCCGTGAAGTTGTTGTTGTCGCAGTTCCAGCCGTTGGTGCGCCGTGGAACGGAGTTTTTTTTTTCTTAGCGGAAGAAATACGATCATTTTTAGGTCAATAAAATCATTTCAATTAATATTGGGAGTGGAGTCGTTAGTTTGTTTCGTATCTGGCCGTGTAATGTGCAGCGACTTGTGTCGGGATCCCTGATCAGCCTGTCGGGTGTTCTGTTCCCCATAATGACCGCCTCGCTGCACATTACCCCTTACTTATGTCTGAGAGCAAATCAAAGATACAATACTGATATACAACATGTTTAAAAAGGGCTGCTGGGGGACGCCACCGACAACTACCAGGTCCTCTATCTGTTAGAGCAAATGTGTGATTGAAATCAGTCGGAAGTCGCAACGGCTCATTTCAAAATAAACGTGGATTTGCGTAAAAAAAATATTTTTTCGGGGTTCGGGTGTTTTGTTTGATTTTAAATAAACAAAGTCTTGGCTTTCAGAATATGAAACTTTTATTTCCAAAATCACACGATAAATACATGTGTGAAGCTTGTAAAGGGAAGAAGGCACCTCTCGCTCGCACTCTGCTGTTCCTCAGCGCCGCCCCCCCTCCCTCCGGCTGACATTATGAATGTAAGGCGTATAGTAATCATAGATAACACGGCAGGGCCCGTTACAGTTTGTTTTCATCTGATTTCAAATAAACAAAGTCTTGGCTTTCAGAATATTAAACTTGTTTCGGCAAATCCAGATGATAAATACAACTTTGAAGCTTGTAGACATAATTACAAGCGGAGAACGGAGTAACTTGACGTCACAGCAGGCGTAACAACAGCCGGTGTTTCTTGTGAGGGTTTTCCCCGGGAAACAAACACAATACACACAAACGCAAAATTACACAAACACACACACACACGTATACACACACACACACACGTATACACACACACACACACACACACACACACACACACACACACACACACACTCGCGAGCTTCCCCCAGACCAGTACTCCAAACGAAAATATCTTCCCTCCGTAGTATTTTGATCATTTGCTAATAACCAATCAGATCGATGGATTCCAGAGAAGAGGAAACTTTAAAGGCCTTTTTCTCAACATGATGACTCGGTGACAGTCATTATATCATGTGACATATTTTGCTTAATATTTGGAGAACAACAACAATCCTGATATCATTAGAAAGCTATGAATCTCCTCTTTCCAACAGTGTATACAACTCTAAATGTGTCTTCAGATCAATGCGACTGATTTCGATGGAGCAGGTCACATGTACAGTACTGATATACAGCATGTGTTAATAAGGGCTTCTGAGGGAGGGTCATAACACGGGGTCAGATTCACACAGATGAGAGATCAATACAATTACAGACAAAATCAAAGATACAAATGCAAATACAATGATATACTGTTAAGTAACTTTAAAATAAGAAATGAATTAAAATGAACATATATACATAAGTACAGAAACAGGTTCATTTGGGTAGGTTTACATGTCATTGTCCTTTCTACACTGTAGCTTTGTGCATATGACGACAAGACCTTTGAATGTTGAATCTCTGTGTCTCTCCACAGGGGGTGATGGAGAGCTTCATCGGCACAGCGTTAGCAGGAACCGTGTTTTGTCTCTTCAGCGGACAGCCGCTCATCATCCTCAGCTCCACCGGACCCATCCTCATCTTCGAGAAACTACTCTACGAGTTCAGCAAGTACGTACAAAAAATGTGTTGAGGAGAATAAAGCAGATGTGTGTGTGTAGAATAAAGCAGATGTGTGTGTAGAGTAGAATAAAGCAGATGTGTGTGTGTGTAGAATAAACCAGATGTGTGTGTAGAGTAGAATAAAGCAGATGTGTGTGTGTGTAGAATAAAGCAGATGTGTGTGTAGAGTAGAATAAAGCAGATGTGAGGTGGAGGAAGCTCGTTGTGGAAGAGAAAGAGAAACTGATAACTGATGAATGGACAGAGTTGTTCTTAACCTCCGCTCTGCAGGAGTAACGGCATCGACTACATGGAGCTGCGCCTCTGGATCGGGCTCCACTCCTGCCTGCAGTGCTTCCTGCTGGTGATCACTGACGCCAGCTACATCATCAAATACATGACGCGCTTCACCGAGGAGGGCTTCTCCAGCCTCATCTCCTTCATCTTCATCTCCGACGCCATCAAGAAGATGGTAGGTGTTGAGTGTTAAAGCTCTCCTATCATGCAAAATGCACTTTGTGATGTCTTTTATACTTCAACATGTGTCCCCGGTGTGTCGGGGAACTCACGCAGCGTCAGAAGATATGATGAAAAAAACGTTTTGTTTTCACAGATAGGAGCCTGGAAGTATTATCCAATCAACAGAGGCTTCAAACCCGACCTCGTCACCTCCTATAAGTGTGACTGTGTTCCTCCAGACCAGGGTGAGTCCTCATCGATCATAGAAATGCAGGGAGATAACCACCTTTCCCTCACATAATGAACATAACGGACATAACGGACATAATGGACACCAGTGTTCAACGAAAACTATGACGAGATGTATATTTGGTTTTCGTTGACGAGACGGGACTAAGGTGTTAATGGTGGACTATCGGACATTCAAAATTCAGGATATTTTCCCCCAATTGTCCGTCAAAATGCATCCCTGTCATTGGTTGAATTAGTTGGGAATCTGCACACGTCACTCTATTACACAAGTAGAGAGTGAAATGTGGCTTTACGAATTTCAACACTTGATACCGTCACCTTTAAATTTAAATTTCAGATATTTGCCCAACTGAATTGGTTTAAAGAGAGAAAACATTTTGACTAAAATGTAATGATTTTTCATCGACTAAAACTGGACTAAGACGTTTGAGTTGTCGTCGACTAAGGTCGCATTCACACCTAATAGTCAGTTTTCAGAAGGTTCGGTTTGCGTTCACACGGGCAAAACTCAAACAGACTATAAACTTTAAACACAAGTCATGTGCACGGAAATGCTGTTCAACCATTGGTCAGACATTAAGGGGGTAAAAACGCAAATCCCGGAAATTCTACCGGAGCCTCCGCCATGGAGCATCGGCAGGTTATTCTCATGCTGCTGTTCATCTGGAGATCAACAGACTCTAGCGGACGGGCCGTATGATTATATAATCAGACAACGTGCGTTGAAAAACATTATAACATATAATGAGATGATCAACACTAAATTCTGCTTCACTCTTTAACTAAACAACCGCGGATGTCTTTCGCTAAAGATTTTTGAAGACATCAGCGTTCTTGTGACTCGTAAATACTGCTCTTCCTGTGTTTTGGTGCGGACTGCGTTCACACCAGCGATGAACCGCTCCAGAGTTCACTTGCAAGCGGTCCGAGACCACCTCTTTTAGGCGGACCAGAGTCCGGTTGTTTAGTTCACTTCAGAGGTCTCAGACTGCGTTCACACCGACCCAAACGAACCGCACCGAGCGGGTAAACGCACCAGGGTTCGATTCAACCCGACTATACAAGGCTGGTGTGAACGCGACAACTATGAAGGATAGAAAGGACTAAAACTAATAACCATTTTTGTCTAAAGACTAAATCTAAAATAGCTGCCAAAATGAACCCTGATGGACATGTGGAAGTATATTGTACAAACACAGAGAGTTCAGGAGAGTTCCTGTGTTGTATAGAAACATTCACACCTTATAAAACACCTTCAAACCAGTCTGTCAGTGTTCCTGAAATGGTCCTAAAACATGTATTTGAGCAGTCTAAGCATTGTAGCAAGGAGCTCTAATTATAGCACACTCATCATAACGCTCTGTTTAGTGTGCATGTCAATGTCTTCTGGCTTCACTTTTGAAGGGAAAGCTTCCAAGAGATTCCAGAAATGTGTCTTTGAAGGTGTTGAGTCATTTCTTCACATCGCTGCAGCCTGTCAAAATGATCTTCATGAACTCTGAATGATGTGTGTATCTTCTGTGTGTTTCTGCCTCATTGTTTGGATGCTGTCTGGAAAAGTGAGTACCGTGCTTTTAGTGACTTGATGTCATGGCTGATCTCTTTGAGTGTTCGTTCATATCATTCTGGTTAATACCGAGCTGGTCGTTTCCTGTCATCATTCATGGGTTTGTGATTGTTCTCCTCAGCTTCTGCTCTGGGCTTTAACACCTCAGCTCCGCTCGCTGATGACAACATGACGATGCTGGTGAGTGACAGAAGACCATGTTTTTCAATTATAATAAGAATAGTAAAAAGGATAAATACCTAAATTCCCCCTCTTCCTCCTCCTCCTCGTCTTCCTCAGTTCAACATGACGGACATGGACTGGAGTCAGCTGAGTAAGAAGGAGTGTGTGAAGTACGGAGGTGTGCTGGTGGGGAACTCCTGTAAATACGTCCCTGATCTGGCTCTGATGTCCTTCATCCTCTTCTTCGGCACGTACTCCATGACCGTCTCTCTCAAGAAGTTCAAGTTCAGCCGCTACTTCCCCACAACGGTAAGAAACCAAAACTCACCTGAGAAAACCCTGCACCGTGTCTTTCATACCTTCAGTCCAGCTGCAGGGGGAAAGCCCCTCTCTCAGGAACACATATAGATATTTATGAGAGCTTTGAAGGAGTCGAAGTCAAAGGACGAGGAGAAGGGACCCTAACCCCAGTTTGTGCATCTTTATTTAAAAACATGTAGCTTTTACCCCTCTCCCCCTCTCTCCCCCTCTCTCCCCCCCCCCCCCCCTCTCTCTCTCCCTGCATGTCCTCCAGCTGCGCTCCTTCCTCAGTGATTTCTCCATCATCATCTCCATCCTGGTGTTCTGTGGTCTGGATCACCTGATGGGGCTCGACACCCCCAAACTGCACGTTCCCACCGAGATAAAGGTCCTCTCCTCCCCCCCAAACACCCTCTCCTCCCCCCAAAACACCCTCTCCTCCCCCCCAAAACACCCTCTCCCCCCCCCCAAAAACACCCTCTCCCCCCCCCCAAAACACCCTCTCCCCCCCCCAAAACACCCTCTCCTCCCCCCAAAAACACCTCTCCCCGACAAAACAAACCCTCCCCCCCCCAAACACCCTCTCCTCTCCGTCCCCCCTCCCAAAAACACACCTCTCCCCCCCAAAACACCCTCGCCACGGCCCCCCAAAACACTCCTCTCCTCCCCCCAACCCACCCTCTCCCCCCCCACACCCTCCCCTCCCCCCCCCCAAACCCCCCCCTCCCCCCCCCCAACACCCCCCCCCCCCCCCCCCCCCCCCTCTCCTCCCCCCACAAAACACCCTCTCCCCCCCCCCAAAACACCCTCTCCTCCCCCCAAACACCCTCTCCCCCCCCCAACACACCCGCTCCCCCCCCCCAAAACACCCTCTCCCCCCCCAAAAAAACACCCTCCCCCCCATAAACACCCTCTCCTCCCCCCATAACACCCTCTCCCCCCAAAACAAACCCTCTCCCCCCCCCCCCAAACACCCTCCCCCCCATAAACACCCTCTTCCCCCCCCAACAACCCCCCCCCCCCCCCCCCAAAACCCCCCTCTCCTCCCCCCCCCAAAAACCCCTCCCCCCCACAACACCCTCTTCCTCCCCCCCCCACAACACCCTCTCCCACCGCCCCAAAACAACCTCTCCCCCCCCCAAAAACCACTCTCTCCCCCCCCCAAAAAACACTCTCTCCTCCCCCCCAAAACACCCTCTCTTCCCCCCAAAACACCCTCTCCTCCCCCCCAAAAACACCCTCTCCTCCCCCCCCAAAACACCCTCTCCCCCCCCCCTAAAAACACCTCTTCATCACCTTTTCCAAACCTGTTTCTGTCCCAAAAGACGTCGTTTTCTGTGCTTTTCTAACCAATGATTTTGAATCCAATCCAATTTGATTTATATAGCACATTTAAAAGAGAGAGTTGACCGAAGCAGCATAAAAACATTTGGACAAAACCGAACAGAAAGAAACTCATGTAAAAGCACGAGAGACTGAAACCATACGTATAGCCACAGACTGAAAACCCTCTCATACAAGATGTTAAACATTTTAAAACACAACAAAATAGAAAACCCCTATTCAGAAAACAGACTGATACGTGGTCTGCAAAAGCCCGGGAGAACAAGTAGGTCTTCAGACGAGATGTATCTATGCAATGATTCTCTTATTTCCTGTCTTCATTGCACCTTCTTTTTCTACTTGTGCACCTCCGTCCTCCATCTTGTTTCTAGCTGAGGAAGCTGATCAGTGATTTTTCCATCTTCATGTCCATCATGTCCTTCGTGGGTCTGGACATGTTGATGGGCTTAGACACTCCCAAACTAATCGTTCCCACCGAGTTCAAGGTATTTGATCCCTCTCTAAAATACATGTGTGACTTAAAACATAACACTGCTCTTCTGCATGCTTTGACTTTCTCCGTGTGCACGTAAGTAAATCAAATCAAGTTTATTTTATAGCACTTCCATACACAAAGCTAACACACACATGTAACAGTAATGGTGACTATAAGTGTTAAATAAGTGTGGTGGAGTAGAGGTATATGTAGCATAACATGACACCATGTAGAGGTATACAATATAACTGTGTGTGTGTGTGTGTGTCTCTCTCTCTCTCTCTCTCTCTCTCTCTCTCTCTCTCTCTCTCTCTCTCTCTCTCTCTCTCTCTCTCTCTCTCTCTCTCTATCTCTGTGTGTGTGTGTGTGTGTGTGTGTGTGTGTGTGTGTGTGTGTGTGTGTGTGTGTGTGTGTGTATCTCTCTCTCTCTGTGTGTGTGTGTGTGTGTCTCTCTCTATGTGTGTGTGTGTGTGTGTCTCTCTCTCTCTCTCTGTGTGTGTGTGTGTGTGTGTGTGTGTGTGTGTGTGTGTGTGTGTGTGTGTGTGTGTGTGTGTGTGTGTGTGTGTGTGTGTGTGTGTGTGGTGTGTGTGTGTGTGTGTGTGTGTGTGTGTGTGTGTGTGTGTGTGTGTGTGTGTGTGTGTGTGTGTGTGTAGCCCACCCGTCCAGACCGTGGTTGGCTGGTGATGCCCTTTGGAAAGAACCCCTGGTGGTGGTACGTAGCCAGTTCAGTTCCCGCTCTGCTCGTCACCATCCTCATCTTCATGGACCAGCAGATCAGCGCCGTCATCGTCAACAGGAAGGAGAACAAGCTCAAGGTAAACAAACCAGAGGTGGGAAGTAGTGGAGTACAAATACTGCGTTACCGTACTTAAGTACATGTTTCTGGTATCAGTACTTTACTCCACTACTTATTTTTCTGACCACTTTTTACTTTGACTTCTTACATGTTGAACCCAAATACCTGAACTTTCTACTTCTTACACTTTGAACCCAAATACCTGTACTTTCTACTTCTTACACTTTGAACACAAATACCTGAACTTTCTACTTCTTACATTTTGAACACAAATACCTGTACTTTCTACTTCTTACATTTTGAACACAAATACCTGTACTTTCTACTTCTTACATGTTGAACCCAAATACCTGTACTTTCTACTTCTTACACTTTGAACACAAATACCTGTACTTTCTACTTCTTACATGTTGAACACAAATACCTGTACTTTCTACTTCTTACATTTTGAACACAAATACCTGTACTTTCTACTTCTTACATGTTGAACACAAATACCTGTACTTTCTACTTCTTACATGTTGAACACAAATACCTGTACTTTCTACTTCTTACATGTTGAACCCAAATACCTGTACTTTCTACTTCTCACATTTTCCAAACAGGCTGGTTCCTTTAGTTTGAATGTGTGTTTGGTGGCGTGATCATTATTATTTAGAGTCATTGCGTGCCTATTGATTTGAACACGATCCGTGTATCCATCATTTCCTGGTCTTCTCTAAAGAAGAGGGACCAATGAAAACGTTGTCATGTTGCCGTTGTTCAGCATGGAAACATTCATTAGCTAACAATGACATTATTGTTCTATTAATATAAAGGGAGGTCAGGTACTCTTTAAAACAGCTGCTAGTTATGGGTACTTTTTACTGAAGTACATTTCAAAGCCTCTTTACTTTCACTTGAGTAAAGAAGTTTAGTCAGTACTTCTACTTTCACCAGAGTATTTTTAAACACGAGTATCAGTACTTCTACTTGAGTAAAGGATGTGTGTACTCTTGCCATATAAGGTATACAATAAAAGCATTTAATGTAGAATTTTGCAAAGAAAATCAGCACCATATCCTCCTCTAACTGTGTCCCCCCTCTGTGTGCAGAAAGGCTGTGGCTACCACCTGGACCTGTTCTGGGTGGGGGTCCTGATGGCAGTCTGCTCCTTCCTGGGTCTCCCCTGGTACGTGGCGGCCACCGTGATCTCCATCGCTCACATCGACTCTCTGAAGATGGAGAGCGAGTCCAGCGCGCCTGGAGAGCAGCCGCAGTTCCTGGGGGTCAGGTGGGGGTCTGAGAGATAGTTTATTCAGAGAGGATGTCTTCACATTCAGATTTGGAACGGACCATACACAGCACAGCATGCATTTCACACACAATACACAAAGAAAAACGCATCTAAAAGGGACCAAACAAGTGACTCAGTGTTTCCACCCGTGTGCATGCTTACCACAGCAGAGCATGCTACTATTGAATATACATATGAATCCTCCCACTGTCAGTATTTACCCGGTGTTTGTGTGTCTGTAGAGAGCAGAGGCTGACTGGGATCCTGGTCTTCGTCCTGACCGGAGTCTCCATCTTCCTGGCTCCTGTTCTCCAGGTTAGTGAGTGGATGCATCATCGAGGAACTTTAGATAATGTTATATATAATGTAGATAATATCTCTCTGCTCTCTGTGTTTCAGTACATCCCCATGCCCGTGCTGTACGGAGTGTTCCTCTACATGGGGGTGGCCTCGCTGAGCGGCATCCAGGTACATTGAGATGAATGTACATACAGTATATCCATGTGCTTCATGTGTGAAACTTACAGTGATACTAACTCAATTATCAAGCCCTCAAAATCTAATTTCAGCTTTCAAAATAATAATAACAACAATCTGGGGAAAATGCTGCTCCAAAAACAAGTAAATATATAATAAAAACAAGGTGTTTTTAATAAGTGACCAATAGAACAAGTACAAAATGGCTTGGTGAGATTTCTTGAAGTAAAGATAAGTTATTAGGTCGTATATCAGGTGTAACGACATATTCTGACTAGAAATTAGACAAATATAATTGGCAAGATTTTACATTTTTGCAGTGTAATTGTGTAATGTCACGGAAACCAAAATATTTTAGAAATGTTTTGTCTATTTTATAAACTAAATAAGAGAGAGAGACACACACACACACACACACACACACACACACACACACACACACACACATAGAGAGAGACAAACACACACACACACACACACACACACACATAGAGAGAGACAAACACACACACACACACATAGAGAGAGAGAGAGATAGACACACACACACACACACACACACACACATAGAGAGAGACAAACACACACACACACACACACACACACATAGAGAGAGACAAGCACACACACACACACACATAGAGAGAGACAAACACACACACACACACACACACACACATAGAGAGAGACAAACACACACACACACACACACAGAGAGAGAGAGAGATAGACACACACACTCACACACACAGAGAGAGAGAGAGAGAGAGAGAGAGAGAGACACACACACACACACACACACACACACACACACACACATAGAGAGAGACAACACACACACACACACACACACACACACACATAGAGAGAGACAAACACACTCACCCACACACACACACATATAGAGAGACAAACACACACACACACACACACACACATATAGAGAGACAAACACACACACACACACACACATATAGAGAGACAAACACACACACACACACACACACATAGAGACAAACACACACACACATAGAGAGAGACAAACACACACACACACACACACACACACACACACATAGAGAGAGACAAACACACACACACACACACACATAGAGACAAACACACACACACACATAGAGAGAGACAAACACACACACACACACACATAGAGACAAACACACACACACACATAGAGAGAGACAAACACACACACACACACACACATAGAGACAAACACACACACACACATAGAGAGAGACAAACACACTCACCCACACACACACATATAGAGAGACAAACACACACACACACACACACACACACACACACACACACACATAGAGAAAGACAAACACACTCACCCACACACACACATATAGAGAGACAAACACACACACACACACACACACACACACACACATATCTAGGAATGCTGGATAATTGGATTAGTGAGGAAAAAGGCATTGATTATAATAAAGGTGAATTCAATGGTGCCACCTATAGAACTCTATATTTGAGTTTAATCTCATTTATCAGCCACTATCTCATAACACACACATTCCCTTAAAACACTTACACTGGACAGTATAGACTCGCACTTTTATATGTTCCAATTTAACAATTCCCTTTATTTGAAGCGGACATCTTCAAACGGCTTTGTTTTTTACTTATCAGAAACTTCGAAATATTTTGTTTAGTTCATCAAATTCAAGAAAAAAACGTTATCTATCCCGAGTGGAATAATTATGACACAAATATGTGATATGTTGTAGTTCTGGGAGCGGATCAAGCTGTATAATGAATATGTGATATGGTTGTAGTTCTGGGA